TGGGCTCGCTGCCGAGGCCTCCCGGCCCCGCGGGGAGAGGCCGCGCGAAGGGTCCCGGCCCCGGCGGAGGGCGGCCTTGGGCCAGGGGGGCCTTTCTGTTCGTGCCGAGCTTTTGTCACGCGCGTCGGCGTCCGGAGTCGCACGAGCTCCGGGTCTGCGGCGTGGTTTGCTCGGGGGCCGAGGGCGGACCGAGACCCCCGCCGCCTCCAGCCCCGGGCGCGGTCGGGCCGTCGCGGTGGCCGCGTTGCTGCGGTCGCGTCCCGGCAGGTGACCCTGAGCGGGGCGCCGGGTCCTCCCGTGGGTCTGCGTGTCCCACCGTTGCCAGTGTGAGGAGCCACACAACTTTTGTCCTGCTGTGGACATAGTCGCCGGCGTGTATAAACCACGGTTTCACACCCGGACTCATGTCTTTAATGGCTTTGTAAAAAGTAAAGCAGAATTGGACAAAATACCCATTTGGATGAATGTTCTTTTCAAGTGGAGTTTAAAAATCATTGTATTCACAATGCCACGATGGTGTTAGTCATTTCAGATGTCCCGTCTCCAAGTTTACAAAAGCCAACTTGTGTGGCTTTCACGGTTTGGAGGTTTCCTTTGTCTGATTGGGGGTCGTCAGGCCCTGCAGCCCTACACTATGCAAATGTCGAGGAACATTCCTAGGGGCAGATTATTAAGATGTGCAACAGCCTGATGAAATATTCAGCAGCGCTAAAGTGACTCTGTTTGGCTTATGGCCATCAGATTTGCTCAAATGAGGCAGTTTTAATATTCCAGAACTTGGGCAGGCATGGGACCCGGGGAGCAGTGCAATCTCCTGTCGGTCCTTGTGGGTCTCCGAAGACATTCTAGCTTCTTCTGCGTGTTTGTAATAGAAAATTAAACTAAGCTCATACTATTGGGAAGAAGAATTTTGCTTTCTTTGTAAGGAGAAACGAGTAACTTGCTGAGGCCACACATTCAATTCTTTAGATGTCGATGAACAAAAAGAAATCGAATTCTTAGAGAGGATGTTTAAAGAAAAGAGCTTAACTTTTAAGGCGTATTTTGTTCTCCTGTGGAGAGAGGCTCACATGTTCACACTTTTTCCCATTGGTTTTGCACAAAAATGAAAAGTGAGAGGAAAGGAGTGCTGGGGGTGGCGATTAGGAGCTGAGGATGTCATCTGATTTCTAATTGTTGGTTATTGATGGGAGAGGAAAAGATTTTGCATTTACTTTTTTTTTTTTTTTCTTTTTCCTTTTCTTTTCTTTGAGGGATCGGGGCAGAAACAGCAGTGAGAACGGTTGACCGGTATATATTTAGTAACCTTCCTCTAGTAGGGAGCTACCTGCTGACCTTATCCTGGGGAAGTGTGGGCTGGTTTTCTGCATCAGAAGCACAAAAGCTGGGGAAAATCCCTCTGTGTGCACCAGTTGGAAGGGTGGAGTGTCACTTTTCAGCAGGTCCTGCTGAGCAGGGGCACTATTTGTGAAAGGGAGCTTGGAGGCAGCAGGGTTCCTGAAGACCAGCCCCCTCTGCAGAGGACCTGGAGTGGGGAGGAGAGAGGGGGCGGGAGGAGAGTTCTGTGCCTTTCTTTTAACTCTGCATTAATGTTACTGTTTTTTTTTTTTATTTTTTTTCTTTTTAAGGAAACAGAGTTTCCTTATGAAAAGATTCATTTCTTCTTTAATGACCTAATGTGAGGAATAATAACATCTGTAATTGGGATTAAAAAAAGAAACACTGATTTTTTCTAAAACAAACAAACAAAAAGCTTAAAAATTTTTCCTAAACATTTGCAAAAAAGTAGAAGGAATGGTCTTAATATGCTTCTGCTCTCACCTTAGAAAAGTGTGGGTGGTATTTCGCTTGCCCCCAGACACATTCTGAAAGGTCATGGATATTATCCTTTCTAGGCTTTTCAAGTTACTGATGAAATTACTTTAAAAGAGAGACTTGTCTTGAAGTTTAAGAAGTGTTTCCTAAATCCCCAGAGAGTCTTTCTTTTGCTTCACACAGAAATTTCCTATAGTTTGGGAGGGGAAAAAAATCCATGCCTTCTCAAATTTTTACAGTGTTTTGATCTTATTTTCCTTTAAAACCCTTAAGGACTGTATTGCCAGAAATTCTCGCTAAGATTTTGAACATTCATTTGTGCCTGACAGAAAAAAAAATACATATATAAATGCTATGTAATACTTGTATGATTGTAGTGGCTTATGTTGTAATTTGTTGTGGTTTCCATACTTTTTTGATCATTCTCATTAGTTAAAAAAAAATTTAGTACTCCCCTGTATTTGTGTTTGTTACTTATTTATAAATTATATACATGTGCTATTATGGTTTTATTGTATTTCAAGGCCCAATCTATCCACAATCTATCTAGATTCATTGTTAATGGCAGTGGAGGTAAAACCCTGTTTCAAATAGTTTTTCTCTTAATTTTGAGTATTTTTGGCCTATTTCTAATCAGATCTGGTTATATCATCGTAGTTTTTTTTATTTCGTCATGTGGCTCATTCAAAGCTGGCTCAGTATGAAG